CATTAATCCAAATCTATGCCCCAAACAGTAATGCTGAAGAAGTTGAAGTTGAATGGTTCTATGAAGACCTACAAGACCTTCTAGAACTAACACCCAAAATAGACGTCCTTTTAATTATAGGGGACTGGAATGCAAAAGTAGGAAGGCAAGAAATACCTGGAGTAATGGGCAAATAAGGACTTGTGGTATAGAATGAAGCAGAGCAAAGGCTAGTAGAGTTTTGCCAAGATAACACACTGATCATACAAAAATCACCCTCTTCCAACAACACAAGAGAAGACTCTACACATGGACATCACCAGATGGTCAATATGAAAATCAGATTGATTATATTTTTTGCAGACAAAGATGGAGAAGCTCCATACAGTCAGCAAAAGCAAGACTGGGAGTTGACTGGCTCAGATCATGAACTCCTTATTCCCAAATTCAGGCTTAAATTGAAGAAAGTAGGATAAACCATTAGACCATTCAGGTATGACCTAAATAAAATCCCTTACAATTATACAGTAGAAGTGACAAATAGATTCAAGGGATTAAATCTGATAGACAGAGTGCCTGAAGAACTATGGACAGAGGTTTGTGACATTGTACAGGAGGCAGGGATCAAGATATATGGGATATGTGTATACATATATATGTATACATGTAGTTGATCCACAATAATTGTACAGCAGAAACACAACACTGTAAAGCAATTATATTCCAACAAAATTTAAAATATATATATATATATGCATCTCAATGTTCACTGCAGCACTAGTTATGATACCCAAGACATGGAAGCAACCTAAGTTCAACGATAGATGAATGGGTAAAGAAGATGTGGTACATATATACAATGGAATGCTACTCAGCCATAAAAGGAATGAAATAATACCATTTGTAGCAACATGGATAGACCTGGAGATTATCATACTAAGTAAAGACAGACAGACAAAGACTAATACCATATGATACCACCTACATGTACAATCTAAAAAAAAGATATAAATGAATTTATTTATGAACCAGAAACAGATAACAGACTTAGGAAAAAGTAAATAAATATCTATATATTTATATATGTATATATATATATATATATATATATATATATATATATCTTTCCCAAAGGGGAAAGGCTGGGGGGGAGGGATAAATTAGGAGTGTAGGGTTAACATACACATACTACTACAAATAAAGTAGATAATCCACAAGGACCTACTATATAGCACAGGTAAATCTGCTCAATATTCTATAATAACCTACATGGGAAAAGAATTTGAAAAAAAGAATAGGTGCATACACATATGTAACTCAATCACTTTGCTGTCCACCTGTAACTATCACAACATTGCTAATCAACTATATTCCAACATAACATTTTTAAAAATGTTTAAAGCCTATTGCAGTGTTCAGTTCCTTTTATATCTTATGCTCAGCAAAGCACCTCTGAGCTGGCTGAAGAAAAGAGGGTCCACAAGAGAGAATTGACACCACAAGCTTCTCAGTGGTGACCTTTCCAGTTTCTTTTTTTCTTTCCCAAACTATTCTCACTACATAAATCGAGAAGCAGATTATTTTTTCATAATATTTTACATATAGGTATTCTTTTATGTGATATTTACCTAAATACCTTCAATTTTTTTGGAGGATTAAGATCCTATCATATTTAGACTATTATATACAGAAGGTATCTGTATTTTTATATTGTAATAGATGTTACATGTCATGGAGCACTATACTCTTGAATGATGAGATTCCTGCAGACATTACCCTAACCTCCTGAGATGTTGTACTACAAGCATCAAGGCTAAGACACTGTTTATCTTGTGGCCATTTTTCGAATCTCTGCCTGGAGCTCTGGACAGCAGTCTGATGTCTGTGACATCAGGGGAAAGCAGGGCCCTTTGGCACCGTGGTGGAGGAGGCCAGATCTTGATTCACCTTTGGAAGGCTGTGTCCACCACTTCACCAGTGAGGCCTGAAGACCAGTCTAAGCAGATCTCGTTGTGGAGTCAGCAGGGGCTCTCTAGAGAGAACATTTTGGGGTGGATGGTAACGAGCCACGGAGGGACGGGTGGCCACTGCCTTAGAGTGACAGCCCTGTGCTCCTGGCATGCGTGCCATGGCCTGGGCACACGCCCGCTGCAGTCCTGCATAGGGGTGGACTGTGGGGCCCCTCTGGCACCAAAGGGCTCGTGGTCAGGGCCCCCCACGGCACTTCTCCTCAGGAGCCCCCCAGCAAGGCCGCCGGAAGTGACACTCCTTATCTGACGGAAGGAAATACTATCTCTGTGACAGAGAAGGAGCACTCGGGGGTGATGGAGAGTGACCGTGAGCAAGGGTGTCCAGCACGGAGTCCCATGTGGACTCACACTGCCGTGCCCGGTCCTGCACCACCAACAGCCTTCGTCCACCCCATGGCCAGAGGCCACGCTGGGTGGTGGAAGAGGACTGGTGACCCACCAGAAAAGCCTGTCCATGGAGAGGATTCAAGGACCCCCCGTCTGAATCCCAAGACAGACTCGGTGCTGCACCAAGGCCTAAAGGACACCACCATCCAGAGAGCTCCTGTCCAGCGCGTGCCCAGCACCGGGAGCCAACAGCGGCCCTCATGTAACTGCTACCCTCTCCGAAGTCACCACGTGGTTCAGAAAGGAGACTGGCCTCCAGCAGCGAGGGCTCTGCTGGGCTGGCTCTGTCCTTCCCTCCAGAGTCAGCAAGTTCGGAGCTCTGGTCCCTCGGTGGCCAGATGGGGTGCTGACAGCACCTCAGTCACCAGACAGTAAGGGAGACGACGCATGGACAGCGGCTGCCGACAGACTCAGCGCACACTGGATCACGAGAGTGGAGCTCCCCCAGAGATGCCCAGTGGGAACTCTGCTCGGCCCCCCAGTTTCCACGAGATCACCCCCGTCTACACACAGGCACCTCCCTGAGCTGTCACCTGGCTGCCTCTGACACCCCTCACCAGTCTGTTTTCCTAAACATGCTAGCTCATGGAAGGGAATTTTGCTTTTTCAGCAGACAGAGTTTCAAAGTGCCCTGGCAGGATGCTGGGGGCCTGGACACCTGGCTCAGGAGAGCCTCATGCTGTGATGATGACCAGGATGAGTGTGCTGGACACCGGACCCGGCCTGCAATGAGCCGAGGCACAGAGCCAGAGCCTGACCAGCGACATTCTGGCCAGCACCCCGCCATCACCACTAACACCACAAACGCCAGTTTCTGGATTCCAAGTTGTTGGTTGCTTACACATCACAACCAAAAGAAAAAGTAATTGTTTCCTGTGAATTGTCCTTGAGTCAGACAATCTGGGTATGAATTCTGCCCAAGAGCAATACTTCCCCAGCGGTTAACAAACCAGACTGTGTTTCTTTTTCAGTTTAATTTGACGTAATTAGGGACAGGGAGGAGAACTCTGCAATAATGCTCTGAGAGCCTTTAACAAGTATTCCTTCATAGCTGGCCAAATCATAACATAAAAGGGAACTACTTATATCAGCAAAACTTTGGCTCTCATGTTTGGATAATATTCCAATGCTCCAAACAGAACTCCACGAAGGTCCAAACATCCCTTTCCCTGCAGCCCAAACACCGAGCTGTCTCCTTACAAGCTCGCACCTCTGCTCATAACAAGGTGACGTACACACCTGACAATCGCTCAGGAACTTCTATTTGGAAATTTCCCTCCTGGGGTTCACACAACAGCCAGGATCAATTGGGGGAAAACACCATCTTTGCATTGTACCCTTGACTGTGAAAGTGTCTGAGTCCTTCCTGTGTCACTATCACAATCTCTGCGTTTCTTAAGAAATCTGCAAAGAGCCAGCCTGTCATGAAGGGGGCAGTGAGTGGAACATGTACCCCCTGCCCCAAGCCTGGGAGGCCATGGGCCCATGGAAACTGTCAGCCACGCTGTGGGTCTGCTTTGACCCCAGAAAACTTTTCCTCCGGGGCTGCTCTTCCTCCGTGATTAAGCACACATGAAAGGATCTAGGGAGGAACCCCACAGATTGGGGAACTGCAAGCCTTCAGTGACTTCCAGGGGGCAGGAACAGGGCCATGAGCAGAGAGGATCCAAGGGCCCAGACATGGGGAAACGAACTCCTGGGCAACCACTTAGATGGATGTCTGATGTCTGATCAGGGAAGGGTCAAGAGACACGTCATGGAGAGATGCCAGTGCCATGCCTGGCGGGCTGTGGCCCTGGCAGATGCTGACCACACTGTTCCCTGGTCACCTGCTGGCCCACTGGACTCACCAGGCTTTCAAGGAACAGGGCATAAGCTTTCTGAGTGGCAAGACCCCAGGAGTTTTCTTTCTGAGGGAGCTTCTGGGCTTTCTCTCAGAGAGGTCAGTAAGTGATGTCTAGCTTGGGTGCCCGGGGCTGGAGGGGTCCCCAAAGGGACCAGCGGGGGGGAGTGTCATCACAGGACCCTGCTGACTCAGGTGCGGGCCCACCGTGTGTCTGCGCCTGGATGGGCTCCGGGAGGCGGGCTCTGTGATCAGGAGCCGCAGGGACAGACAGAACCTGGGGTCATGGCTCCCCAGGAGCCGAGCAGGGCGCTGAGGCAGGGTCCTTGAGGCAGGAGTTCAGTGAGGAAAGTGCAAGGCCTGAACGCAGGGTGTGCCAGGGCTGGATGGCCAGATTGCGAGCTACAACCGGGTCCTGGGGGTAGGGCTTCCGTGGCTGGCTTCTGTGTGCCAGCTTTGTCACAGGGAACAGGAGGGCCAGAAACTTCAGTCCTGCAAGCTGGGAGGCTTGGCCAAAAACATCTAGAAAGGAGTTTAAGGGACAGTTTCTTCTGATGAGATAACACCTCAGGAGTGCTTGGGAAGTAGATTCCAAAGCTCCCCTGGAGCTTCAGGAATCAACACCATTTTGACTCAGAGCCTGGAAATCTGTGCCAAGCAACACCCCTCCCACCATGTCCCAACCATGGGATTTTTAGGAATTCTAAAGCTTTAAGCCCACTGAAGCCTGTTCAAACACAAGAAATTTAAAGGTAGCAAACCTGCTCGATTATAAGCATGGCCGTGCGACCCTGGGGATCACTGGACCTCATGAGCCTCAGCTCTTCATCTGCAAAGTGGGGACAACGCACTTCTTCACAGGCCAGTGCTTGAACTGGAGAGCAGAGTGCAATCTCTCAGTGCGAAGGTTCGCAATTATCGTGTTTCTGAGCCCAAGTACAATCTTGTAGGCTTCCAGCCCTGTAGCTGACACAGCTCCGGGTTTCGGTCACTATCTCTGAACTGATGTCCCTAAGGAGGACGGTCCTTGGCTGTGGGTCTCCTGGAAGGCCCTCCAAAAGACTCTCACTAGAGCCAGCACTTCCTACTCTGGCTGGTGGTCAGTTTGAAGGCCCTGTGCTGTGGGATGGACCCATGCTTTTCAAATCCTGGAGTCATAAGGGAGAAATGCTTTGAGGGGCAGTAGTCTCAGGGGTCGACTCCCACACGGGTGAATCCCAGGGACATCTGATTCGCTAAGCTCCTTGGGACAGTAGCTGGGGTTAAGCGCTAAGAAGCGGAAGAGCAGGGTCAGAGGCCCAGGGCAGCTGATGAATGGGAGACGTGGTCAGGAGCAAAGGAAGGAGGAGCTCCACAGGGAGGCTCCAGACGACCACTGGAGGAGATGATCATCATCACATACGGGCTCAGCCATGTCCTGCAAGTGAGGAGACAACTCATGATGACACAGTGAGGGCAGCTGCCACTCACAGCCCAAGGGAGTTGGCCATACCCCCAAGGCCCAGGGGGAAGGCAGTGTCAGGCCGGGATCGCTGCCACACCCTATGCAATGCCTCTCACGGCTCGAGAGGCCTGGGGCACTGGACACAGCTCAACAGACAGAAAGACGATGTAGCTGCTGGCGAGCAGGACTCTGAAAAAAAGCAAAGAGATCTGGTGTCACTTAACCCAGAGGAGAAGCCAAGGTGAGACGCAGAATCCAGAGTGACTGTGGCTCTGCACACCCTAAGGAGGAGGCCAGTTCAGCAGGATGGTATATGTTAAGGAAAAGAAAACAGGGGTTGTGATGAGCATCCCAAGTGTGGTCAGGCTTGCCGGGCAAAGAAAAGACCCCTTTCCCAACAGTGGCCCAGGGTCCAGCCCAACCTGGGCAGGCAGAGATGATGAAACATCAACTCAAACCACAGTGAAAACTGGAAGGAAGATGGTGCCAAGTGGTTTCAGAATCAGCCCTGGCCCAGAGCTGGGCTTGGGGACAAGCAGTTAACCTCTCTGGGCCCTCGTTTCCACATCTGTAAAGTAAGGTCATGGTCCAGACAGCCTCCCAGGTCCTTCCTCCTCAGTGTGAAAAGTCACCTTCTGTGGGCCCAGGGGGAACGTGGCATCTGTGTTCATAACATGTTAAACATTTTCCTTCCAAGGAAGCAAAAACAGGACACGTGCAGTGGGCGTGGGGACCTGATCTGGGCTTGGAGACCAGCTGCACAGCCCTGCAGGGGGTCCTCTGGTTCTGGGGTGGTGGAGGGAGGAGGGGAGAGGAGACCCAAATGGAAGGGAGCACGGGGAGGCCAAGGAGCCAGCTCAGACTCGGAGATGCAGGAGGCTGTGGTTGTGCAACAGCAGAGAGGAGGACCCGGTGCAGCTGACAGGTCAATGCTGGAACACAAGGGTGGGGATGTGCCTGGCAAGGAAGGCCCCGGGTCTCCGCATGGGACTGGGTGGGCTGCCCGGGTTTCCGTTTTCTTCTGCTATTTATTAGCCCGTGATCTTGGGCAAAATGTTTATCCCCATTAGAACATCATTTCCAATTAATAAAATGTGGGTAACAGATCCACTTCATGGTATTTTCATGAGGATTAAACATGATTATGTGCCTGACACGTCGTAAGGACGGAAAAACTACCATCATTCTGAGGTGGGCCGGCGAATGGAATTAAGGCAGAGAAAAAAGAAACCTCCGTGACTCACAGCTCAAGGACAAGACCTAACGCCGGGCTGCTTCCACAGACATGGACAGTTCTCCCCGCTCCTCCCTCGGATCCGAGGAGCGCCGAACTTTCTAGGAGGGGGTGCTATTACCTCCCCGCTTCAGGGCGGGGACACTGAGGAGCAGGGCAGCTGAGCCTCAAGGCGCTCAGCTGTAACTGAGCAGCTGAGATCGCCATCACTCAGGCTCCTGTCCTCCCAACATCTGTCCCCGGGAGAGAAACTTGGAGAAAATGGGAGGTGTACATATCCTCTAAAGTGACAACCTAGTCAGCTGACTAATTTGGGAACAGGAGACTGAATTGGTCATTCCTCCAATGACCCTGAGCCATGGAAGCCCGCCAGAACCCACCAGGCACTGGGAAGGCGAACAGGCTAGGGCTCCTCCGGGCGGGCCCAGCAGGCACTGTCACAGGGACGAGCCTGTCCTCCCAGCCCCACGCAGAGGGTGGGCGCGAGCGGCCAGTTCTCACACTCACAGACAAAGAGCACGCCTGTGCTGTCTCTGAGCAGAGCCCCGGGCCCGGAGCCACGGTCATGGCTCTCCCTAGCCCCAAGTGGACTGGAGGGTCTTTCCTGAGCCACTCTGCTCTTTCTGCCTCTTGGCACAATGACCCCTGATGAGCTCTCCCCACCAGACACCCCCAGGCCCAAAGCCTGTCCAGGACTCATCTCTCCTGTTCCATCTCCTCCCCCGGGACTGGAGTCTCCTGTCAGCAGAGGCCGGACACACAGCCCTGGGCCTTGACACTGGGCCGTGGTCCCTCATCTCCCTTCTCCCCAGAACACACTCAAACTCCCTGGCTCTGGGACTGTTAAAAATAAAAATAATAATAAAGCGAGGTGGGGGGCATATTTTCTTTTCAAAATAGTTTAGACTGAGTCGTGCTGGAAGCAAGCAATATGACTAGGTGACTTCTTAGAGTCCCTTCCAGCCAGTGATTCACCAGATCTAGAATTGAAGCTGGAATGGACTGTTATATTCTAGGCCAAATGTCTCATTTTTGCAAATAAGGAGAGTGCAGTCCATGGAGGTTAAGAGTCTGGGGTCCACTTGCAGCCGTGGAAGGAGCACAAGGTTTGAAGCTAGGTGCTCTGTGTCTGACCAGACTGAATCGGTCGCATGCTGCATGCCCTGGAGTGAGGAAAAGGCAAGGCCGCTCTGCTCCTGCTGCCTCCGCGCCTCGTCCTGGCAGTCCGAGGACAGCACACCCGTGAAGGACACGGGGCGACGTCATGAACTGCTCCATCAACGTGAAGAGGTTAGCTCAAGGTGGTCCTGGCTGAACGCTGTTGTGTGAGTCTCGTCACACACTGCTGCCTTCTCGACGCTTCGCCAGGACTCTGGTTGTTTTTTCTTATAAACCACACTAATTTGATCTCCACAAGCATTCCTTTAAGCCCCTCGGTGCAGATTCAAACAGACCAGCTTGGAGGAAGCGCAGCCTTCCACCGCCTCGGGGTCATGGTCCTCTGACCTGGACCCAGAGCTGCCCGGGCGGGGCGCGCTTTCCCTGGAGCCCTCCGGCTGCTGCGGCCCAGGCTGGGTGCTGCGGGCGCTGCTTGCAGGTCTGTGGAGGACTGGTGGGCCACAGCCTGTACCCTGACCACTGGAAGAGGTCGGGGGTGAGTCACCAAGCTAAGTAACAGATTCTGGCTCCTCCAAGCTCACACTGGACAGAGTTGGGAACTAGCTCAGCCACAAGAGCTGGCTCACTTGCCGGTTTGTGGTCAGGCACAGAGGAGGGGCAGGAGACGGCAGCCGGGCCCCGGGGATGACGCATGGACCTCCGAGGGCTCTGCGCGCCCACCCCACCGCTGCTGGAGCCTGGAAAGGGCGTCCACGCCCCTCGGCTGATCAGGAGGTGAGGCGCCCTCGGCAGGTGGGCCGGCGCCAGCTCCGCACTCTCCCCAGGGAACGTGCGTCCTGCCACTGCGACCAGCGGCCCGCCAGCGGCCCGCAGGGCCCCAGGGGCTGCCTAGGTTTCCTCCCTGACGGCCCCCACACTGGACACGGGGCGCCTCCCTCCTCATCAGAGAGAGCCAAGTCTCTTCTCAGACAACGGTGTCCAGTCCGTGAGGAGCCCCGCAGAGAAATCCTATGTCCCCTGCTTTCTGAAGCATGAAAACTGTGTCACGTTTAAGGAATAATGCTGAGGTCAGGCCAACAAGAAACAGACAGTATAGCTCTTTTGCTCTAAGCAATAAAAAAGCAAAAAACGGGGAAAATCCTGTGAGCTAGCTCAGCCAACAGTTTCCACGTTGAAAAAGAAAGAAGTTCAAGCTGGAGCCATACACTTCAGGCGCCCATAACCTTCCTTTTAAATCATCTCCAAGCAGCCCCAAGTCACGCCAGCCGCAAAGCATGAGGTGGCTTGGGTCTCGCTGCAGTGGAATGCTCTGCAGCAGACAGGCGGCTCCCCGGGCGCCGGGGGGAGCCCCCAAACCCGCGAGGCTGAGAGCACGCATGACATCAGAGCTCAACCATCCAGGAAGGGGCTGCGCGTGCCGCAAACCACAGCGGGCAGATAAAGCAGGGAACGGCCTGGCTTAGGAAAACATTCGCGAAAACCGCAGGCAGCTAGCGGAGGCAAGCAACCTATCCTTCAATTTATAGCTGGAGATCAAGAGCAGCCCAGTAATGTGAGACATCCACTATTCAATTCATGATTAACTGACAAGGCACCAAGCCCATCCTGGGCATAATTGAAGCCGCAGCGACTGCCATCTGCCTTCACCTCAGGGGACCAGGGCTGTATTCTGCAAGCCCACTGCAGCTTTCACTCGTTTATTTATTTATTGTTTTTAAAGGACGAGTTCAAAGAGTCAACTATATAGTGTTTGAAGGGCTGGTAAATGTATTGGATGTGCTTCTGGGCACCTCAGAGGAACAATGTTCAACAGGTATTGGTAAAGCATGATTAAAGCTCAAGGGGAAAAATGGTCCAAATAAAAATGCTATTTTTTTTCATTCACTTTTATTAGTTGGAGGCTAATTACTTTACAATATTGTAGTGGTTTTTGCCATACACTGACACGAATCAGCCATGGATTTACATGTGTTCCCCATCCTGAACCCCCTCCCACCTCCCTCCCCATCCCATCC